TCCGCCTCTTTTAACTGTTCTTTGAGGAAGCGCTTCCGCCGTTACCTGCGCGACCGATGCTCTTAAATCCGCTATTTTCTCTATGGAGTTCTGCACGCGCGCCTCGACGGCTCCAGGTTAGCTGTTCGCGCCGCCAGGTCCAGGTGAGCACGTACCTTCTGAGCCATGCTGACGTCACCACAGCAGATTTCGATCAACCGGTGGTTCGGATCACTGTCCCATTCCGTCCGCTCCGAGAACCTGCGACGCTGCGTCAAGGTGGACTGCGCGCGCTGGAAGCTTCCGGCCGGGCGTTTCACAATAAAAGCCCAGTGATTAAACACAGGAACAAGACTGTGTGTAGTAATAGTACTTATTCTGTCAGTACTTCAGCAGTACTTTTGTTTGTAATCCTTCACTACATGTCATTCTGTGTTCGTCTGTCTCTCCTTCCGTCTCAAACCAGCCGGTCAAAGCAGATGGTCTCTTGTCCTGAGCTGGTTCTGCTGGAGGTTTCTTCCTGTTAAAAGAGAGTTTTTCTTTCCACTGTTGCCACTGTGCTTGCTCAGGATGGGACACTGGTACGAAGTGAAGATTCAACAGATAATAATAATAATAATAAACTTTATTTCTATAGCACCTTCCAACAACGCCTTGCATTGACCAAGGTGCTTCACAAGACAAAACAAGATTAAAAACAGGACACAATAAATCAGTGCAAATTAAAAAACACAGCGAGAATAAAAGAAGGTAAAAGAGATAAAATAAAAAAATAAATACTAAATACTAAACTACTAAAAGTTAAACATTAAAAGCCCTTTTAAATAAGTATGTTTTCAGTTTGGCTTTGAACAGAACCAGATCAGAGATGGCACGCAGCTCATAGGGAAGAGTATTCCAGGCTGCTGGGCCTGCAACAGAAAAGGACCGGTCCCCCCATAGTTTGCACCTTGAGCAAGGCACCTCCAGCAGATTTTGACCAGCAGACCGTAAAACTCTGCTGGGCTGGTGGACTTTCAAAAGTTCTGAAATATAAGGTGGTGCAAGGCCATTCAAAGCTTTAAAAACAAACAGTAGCAGCTTGAACTGTGTTCTAAACTGAACTGGGAGCCAGTGTAAAGAAGAAAGGACAGGAGTGATGTGTTCATATTTACGTGTGTTAGTCAACAGGCGAGCAGCAGAGTTTTGTACAAGCTGTAAACGGGAGATAGAAGATGGATTAATACCCACATATAAGGCGTTACAGTAATCAAGCCTAGAGCTCACAAAGGCATGGATGGCCTTCTCCAGATCACTACGGCAAAGGAGTGACTTTACTTTAGAAAGCAGACGGAGCTGAAAGAAGCTGGTTTTCACAACAGAACTGATCTGTTTATCTAACTTTAAGTTACAGTCGAGCTCCACTCCTAGATTTTTTACCACCTGGTTGGCGTGGGGGAGCGGAAAACCTATACTGGGAGAAATGTTGCATGAATTACTGGAAGCACCAAATAAAATCCATTCAGTTTTATCGTTATTGAGGTGGAGAAAATTCTGAGACAGCCAGTGCTTAATGTCGTTTAAGCAGCTGGCAATAGAGTTGAAACTGAGTGAGGAACTGGGAGTGACCGGCAGATAGATTTGTAGATCATCTGCATACAGATGAAAAGACAGATTATGGCGTGCAATGATGGGTCCTAATGGTAGCATGTAAAGTGAGAAGAGAACAGGCCCCAGAATGGATCCCTGCGGTACACCAGAGGTCAAAGAGACTGAAGAAGAGGACAGATCACCAATCATAACAGAGAAAGTTCTGTCTGTTAAATAGGACTTAAACCACTCGAGCACAACTCCCTGAAGGCCAACCTGCTGAGCCAAACGAGGGATCAGGACCTGATGGTCTACAGTATCAAAAGCTGCTGAGAGGTCCAACATCACCAGCAGAACAGGTTTTTTGGCATCAAGGGACAAAATAATATAATAGATGGAGACCTTTACTAATTGGCTTTTGAATGTTCCTGTTAAGTCTGTCAGGTCTCTTGTAAATGAGTCCTCGAGGCTCAATGGGATTTACCTGTCTAAATAAAGGTTGAATGAATGAAAAAAACGTGCCCTGAGACAACTTTGTTGTGAATTGGCGCTTTTAAATAAACTGAATTGAACTGAATTTACACAGAGGTGCATGTTTATGTATTACCTTTAAAAATTAATCTTGAACAAAATGTCCATGCCATCTCTACATCATCAAAGAGAGAAATTTGTTTCTACTCAAGAAGTGATGATCTAGCAGGGTTTGTATGTTAGGCCGTGTAGGGCTGTCTATTATTGACTTAGATTGTGGGAATAATTGATAAATTTTTGTCTATCAATTATAAATAAATATAGTCTATATTTAGGCTGATGACAACCAGTCAAGGTTTAGGTCGCCTACTAAGACAACCTCACCAGTACCGGTATTTAACCCTGAGATACGACTGTCTGAAGAGTTCAGAGCCTCACTGCTGCTGAGGGAGGTCTATAACACCCATGACTGTGAGAGATTGATTTAGCTGAAATTGAATTTTAACAGCCAGGAACTCAAACTGTTTAGTCACAGATACAGATTTAAGGTGGGATGAATTCCATCTCTCCGCATCAGACCAGGATTTCCCCAAAATGCACTCCAGTTATCTACAAAATCCTACGTTGTTTTCAAAGCACCACCTGGACGCCTGGCAGTTGTAAACCAACATACAGTTAGAGAGGTAATCACTGGTAAGGTTGGGGAGGGGCCGGAGAAAATGACGGAGTCCGACATAGTTTTTGTGAAGTTATACATTGAAGCCAAATTAATTTTACTGATCTCTGATTTACGTAGCTGAATGTCATTTTTGCCGACGTGATTAATAATTTTACTGTATTTAGTCCTAGCTTTAGTCAGTAGTTTCAGGTGGGATTCATTGTTGCCCGCTCCGGCCCTTGGAATGCATTTGACTGACCGACCGACCGACGGTCCGTCCATTTGTCCGTCCTCAGTGCCCATGTGGGCAATGACAGCGTTATCTAAAAGTGGCTGATTAGAGCATGAGGAGGAACAACCTCCCTGATCTGAATCCGAATGGTGTTTGCTTATTGGACTTTTGTGCTAGACATGGGTTGTCCATGATAAAATAATTTAATTATAATTAATTAATTTACTTAATAAATAATTTATGTCAGCCAGCACATTATAATTGGTGTGGTCCGCACTGCTCTCATCCACCTGGAGCAGAAGGACTCCTACATCCGTATGCTCTTTGTGGACTTCATATCTGCCTTCAACACCATGATCCCCCAGACCCTGATAGACAAACTGCTCACACTAGGAATAAGCCCTTCCATTTGCAACTGGGTCCTAGACTTCTTAACAAATAGACCAAAGTCAGTGAGGATCCACAACTTCTCCTTCTCTGTGTGTTGAGCCCCCTCCTGTTGACTCTGCTCACGTATGATTGTGCAGTTATCCATCCAGGCTGTCACATTGTAAAGTTTGCAGATAATACAGCGGTGGTGGGATGCATCACAAACAATGATGAGTCCAGCTACAGGCAGGAGGAACACCTGGAGAGCTGGTGCAGGAACCTTCACATCAAGATGAAGGAGATGGTCTTGGACTTTAGACGGAACAAACGCACTTTAGACGGAACAAACGCACCTATCTCCTCCCCCACCCCCCGAACATAGGAAGATCTGCGGAGGAAGTGGTCTCCAACTATACTGTACTTGGTTGTGCACCTGAATGACAACCTCAGCTGGAGTAACAACACCACCAGCCTGATCACGAAAGCTCATCAGAGACTCTACTTCCTCAGGCGGCTGAGACGAGCTGGTCTGGAAGCTCAGTCCTCACCTCCTTCTAC